TATCTAATTTAAAAGTTAGCAATTACAATATTTCAAAATTTTCCAAATATGGAAGATTGGTTTTTGCAATAAAGCTGATGAATCAATAGTAGAAAGAATCAGTTATACATTTGAATTATTAAACCATAAATTCGAACTTTAAAACTATTGATAGTTCTAAAAGTTTTCTTTATGTACATCAATATAACAATCAGTAATAAAGTTTATTTTTTATTCTTTCCTCGTCAATGTCTTAGATGACAACTGAGTATTATCTATGAATGCTTCACACTTTTTTCTTTTACTTGACGACAGGTTTTATATCTTTAGAGAAGACAATCATGGTATTTCAAAGCAGTATTTATTCATGATATTAGTCTAAAAGAAAAAAAAAACTCAAATATTCCTCTTTCATATACAACACTCTGAGTCGGTTTGATAGAATCAAAGTGTAAGTATTCCAAGTTTTTATCGTATAGTTTTTTTTTATAGCTCATGTTATATGTATTTAGCCTATATTGAACTCGAGAACAGATTAGGAGCTCTATGTTTAATTATTTCAGGTACCGAGAAACTCGAACGAGATAATTCACATACAAGATGTTTCATACGCTGTGAAACTCGACAAAATCAGCTTATATATAGAAACATGGAATAATCTCTAACTAAATTTGTTTACATGAAAATTGAATCTGTCTCTGATGTTTCAAGTAACATTATACTGTATGACGTATTCTCTTCTAATTATAGAAAGATAAAAATAAGTATATGATGATCATTTTTCGCAAAATTCACCAGCAACATTTCTTTTTAGAACTTAAAAAAAAATAGCGGCGAACATATCTGATATAAAATAAAAACATAGTAGGGATCAAAAAGTAGTTGTTGTAATCGTTTCCTTGAGACCTATCATGAGGCATGAATCATATAATCATGCAAACTAAATGCTGAACAAATGATTCTAAATGAAATAAAATACACGAACATACTATGTTCAAAATAAAAATAAAGAACAAAGATTACGTTGTGAACTATTGATGAATTATTAATTGCTCAAATATTATCTCAAAAGTGATGTTGAACAGGTTTCGTAGTAGGCCCATATTTTGTAGGAAGTTTTATCTATGTAAAAAATGAACCTTTACTAAGTGTTTATTTATAGAGTAAACAAAGTATCCTATAAGATATGAGTCTACTACGATGAGTAGTAGAATTTTTATGTAGCATTTCTTTGAAAATGTCACTCATCCATAATTCAAATCAGGTATTTCAAAAACTGTAGAACATTATGATACGGACAAAATGCATTTGTATGCTGACTTTATATGTTGAAAGATGTAGCCAAAAATTAATTGTTCATTTAGAAAATGTTGTCCAACATAAATTCAATAGTCGTGCACTCGTACTGAGCAAATAACCAGGCACTAACGTCATAGTATGAGATTCCAAAATCCTGTTTTCACACAGATTGAAATATATGAAACTCATAATTAATGACTGCACTCTTGTTTATCTAAAAAACTGTTCTTGAAAACCTAATATCCGTGATTCTCAACTACTTACGATGTTTTGGAGTAAAACTATAATGAACCCCAAATTTACTGGGGTTCCTATGTAACCATTACACGAGTATTTAACGTGGTCCATCTCATTTGGTCTCAACATTTTTCTATTCCATGGAAAAACAAGACTTAGGCTTTCGACTGTGCTCTTTCATCTGCACTATGTATTAGCTCATAGACATGAGATTCAATTCGGTCAAGCTACAGAAAGTCAGAGTTTTTGATTCGAAATCTTTGAAAAAATGAAATTACAGAGCACCACGACGTGTGGCATTTCTATGTCTTGCTTCTATATAAATAGTTTCCGACAAAAAGTTACTTCTAATATCATGTATCGACGTGAAAGACAAAGTTGTCTACCTCCTTTGGCTCCAAAACTACTTATTCAAGGTCTTAAAATACCAACTGTGACTTATAAATGGGAAACAATTTGAGACAAGTCTTACAACTATCACTCGTCTTTTAAGGATTAGAAACCGGAGATAGTATCATTCATTAGAAATTCAGACTTAAGATTATCCTCTGGTTACATTCATTATTTTAATTCTAAAGGCGACCCATGTTCTCAGATGTTCTTAGAGATATGAGGCTGATTCTTACATAGGATTGTAGATTTCAGAGGTGACATCTAATTTCTGAACATCAGTACCCAAACTTCTCTATTTCTTAGGAGATAATCTTGTCGCAAAACCATGATTCTCATAAAAAATTCAGTTTTGAAAAGGATCTCCTAGATGAATACAAGATGATAGAAAGCTGAAGCTTTTACTAGACATGTTTCTTTATTGATACAAGTAACAGTAAACATTTCAGCTAAATATCGTGCTCCAATTGTTAAATATGAATTCTAACAATTGTCTGAAATTATGATTTTTGCTTCTTTTATGAAATCCCTTAAAAATATAGAGTCTATTAAAATAGCTTCTTCAATGTTCAAGTTTTTAGTGTTATCCGTAAGAAAAAATCATGAAATATTCATATTTCAATATTTTTGAAAATCGCTTGCAAGAAAATTCGTAAAACTCTCTCCTCTGGAACATATCATAAATAGAACAAAATCTGTCGACTTCAATTGAGCACGTTCTCTAAAATGATAGTCGCAGTTTACGTGGACTGATTTTTAAAATATTCTGTCGCTGATATTGCTTCCATAAATTAGTGAAAACCATTGAAAACAAATAAAATCAATCCAATAAATCGTTTTGTATTCATTCTATCATTTAAAACTAATGCGCTAAACATCATTATCAGGTCGACAACTATGACAATAAAGTTTTCAACTATTATCTTTCGATTTTGTATAAATTAAGATACTACACAATAGACATCTAAAATATTTATTCTTCATATCTATTTAAAATTGGAAACTAATACACTTTCAAATTCCAATATTGATAAGCGAAGCTGTAAATTTTTCGTATGATTTTCAAATAAAAGAATTTATTTAGATCAAAACAGTAGTAAATATTTTATTTCAAAAACTTACACCATACATGTGTGGTATAGTTACGATCTGAACTTTAGAAAACATGTAATAGATGATCAAAACATATGAAAAAAAAAATAATTTATAATTTTGTTTTACACATGCATAATAAAAAGAAACTTTTAGCTTGGTATGGCACGTAATATGGTCATTGCACTTTTAGCTGGTCCTGAATTTATCAATATTCCATCTACTTGGTTTTCAATTCATGTATTGTCTGGAACCACTTCAATAGGTCGTTTTCTAAAGCATGATAATAATAATAAATTGTGTACATCTCGTCGAAAACCATATATAAATATACAGGATGGGTAAAATTTTTTTTCCAGGGGCTAACGCCATGATTTCCAATAGTATTCATAACAAATTTTATACCAAATTAAAGCGCGTCGAAAATGGGATTTATCGATGCTAAATAGTAAAGGTTATGACAACTTCACAGAGTTGAACTCAGAAAGTTCCTAGAGTTTTACACCATATTGACATCGAAAAATGACTTTCATGAGGTAGTTTAAACTAAATCTCATTTAAAATGATGAATCACA